TTTTTTAAAAAAAATAGACACTTCTCCAAAATGAATATACAGATGACCAAGAGACATATGAAAACATGCTTAAAGTCACTAATTATCAGAGAGATGCAAATCAAAATGACAATGTGATATCACCTCACATTTGTCATAATGGCTACCATCAATAAAGCAACAAATGACAAGTGCTAGTGAGGATAAGGAGAAAAGGGAACCCTAGTACACTGCTGGTGGGAATGCAGACTGGTGCAGCCGTTATGGGTAACAGTATGGAATTTTCTCAAAAAAATTTAAAAATGAAACTGCCATTTGACCCAGTAATCCCACTTCTAGGAATATATCCCAAGAAACTATAAACACCAATCAGAAAGGATATATGCACCCCTATGTTCATAGCAGAACAATTTACCCTACCTAAGATCTGGAAACAGCTTAAATGCCCATCAGCGGATGAGTGGATTAGAAAACTATAGTACACCGAAACCGGTTTGGCTCAGTGGATAGAGCGTCGGCCTGCTGACTGAAGGGTCCCAGGTTCGATTCCGGTCAAGGGCATGTACCTGGGTTGTGGGCACATCCCCAGTGGGGGATGTGCAGGAGGCGGCTGATCGATGTTTCTCTCTCATCGATGTTTCTGACTCTCTATCTCTCTCCCTTCCTCTCTGTAAAAAATCAATAAAATATATTTAAAAAAAAGAAAACTATAGTACATATACAATGAAATACCATGCTGCTATAGAAAAGAAGGTATTCTTACAATTTGCAGCAGCATGGATTGAACTGGAGAGTATTATGTTAAGTGAAATAAGCCAGGCAATGAAAGAAAAATACCACATGATCTCACTCATTTATGGAATATAAAGAACATTATAACCTGATGAACAAAAAGATAGATACAGAGGCAGTAAAGTGTCAAACAGACTGTCAAACTATAGCGGGAAGGCTGGGGAGTGTTGGGGGTTGGGGGGTAAGAGTTCAACCAAAGGTCTTGTATGCATGCATATAAACACAACCAATGGACACAAGACACGGGGGTGTAAGGGGCATGGGATGAGGGCATGCGACAGGCAGTAGGGGAGGCTGGGGAAGGTCAATGGGGAAAAAAAGGAGATATATGTACTACTATATGTAATACTTTAAACAAAATAAAAAAGAAAATATTCTATAATAAAACTATTTACTTCAAAAAAAGAAAAAGAAAATAAATATTGACCTTTTTTATGTAGTCCGAAGCAGAAAGAAAAATAATAAAATTTAGAGCAGAATTAAATAAAGTAGAGTACAAAAACACTATACAAAAAATCACTAAAACAGAGCTAGTTCTTTGAGAAGATCAATAAAACTGACAAACCCCTGACTGGACTCACTAAGGATAAAAGGGAAAAGACCCATATAAACAAAATCAGAATTGAGAACAAAGAAGTCACCATAGACATCACAGATACACAAAGGAATTAGAATATTATGAAAAAACTAGAGGCCCGGTGCATGACATTCATGCACTGGGAGGAGGGGGTTCCCTCAGCCTGGCCTGCATCCTCTCACAGTCTGGGACCCCTCAGGAGATGTTCGACTGCTGCCCGGGGGAGCGGACCTAAGCTGGCATAAGGACAAGACGGGAGAGGCTCCCACCACCGCTGCTGCACTCACCAGCCGTGAGTCCAGCTTCTGGCTGAGTGGTGCTCCCCCTGTGGGAGTGCACTGACCACCAGGGGCCAGCTTCTGCATTGAGCATCTTCTCCTTGGTGGTCAGTGCGCATCATAGCTACCAGTCGTTCTGCAGTTTAGTCAATTTTCATATTAGGCTTTTATTATATAGGATATATGCCACCAGATTCAATAACCTAAAAAAAATAGATAAGGTCCTAGAAATATATAACCTTTTTTGACTAAATCATGAAGAATTAGAAAATCTAAATAGACCAATCAGCAGTGAGGAATTTGAAAAAACTATCTAAAATCTCCCCCAAAAATAAAACTCCAGAACCAGATGGCTTCACCAATGAATTCTCCCAAATGGTCAAAGAATACTTAAAAGCTATCTTTCTCCAGGTGGCGGGAGGTGCACCAGTGTATGTGGCAGTGGTAAATCCTCCCAGCCCCTCACAGCACTGTGGAGCCACATCCCCAGTTCCACCTCAGACAGTGGTGCCCCCTTCTGCCCCTTGCAGTTTTCTACTTGCCTGGTCCCCATGGTGCTCTGGTCTTGCCAAGCCAGCTACCCGCCAGGGTCCTCTCCCTGGGCCCAGACAGGCAAGCAGTCTGCCCTGAGGAGGCAGGGAGAGGAGTGCTGGGCTGGCCCAGGGGTGGGCAAGGATGCCAAACTTCTTTGAGGATCCCAACTGCAGGCAGAAGAGCACACAGTTGAATTTGGCCTTCTTCCAGTTCCCAAGGGATCTGGCCAGATGCCAGAAGTGGGTGGGAAATTATAATAGG